ACACACACACACACACACACACACACACACACACACACACACACACACACACCCCAACATAATTATGTCATGATCAGTTTAAAAGTCAAATTTTCAGGGCATACCATCATCTCTAAATCGTCCCGAGTACAGAAAAAGAATGTTTTCTTTTTCTGCTTCATTTTTCATGTTGCGCAATTATGTAAACATACAGATGGTTCATTTTCATGTTTATGATTTCAGAGAAGAGGGAGGAGTTTTATGGAGGTATGTTGCTTTGGCTCAGTCTTATCATTTGACTTTGTACAAACACTGATGTTGATTTTGTTAACTATCTTGATTTTGACTGTAAGAGTAACACCATTGGAAAGATGAATAATCATTACCTTTAAAGAGTTTGAGTTCATAAGTCTAACCTGAGTTGCGTGATGGAGGAAGGGCCATGGAGGTCAGGTAGCCACCATTTGAATGGTTGTTGTCTCCAAAGTCAAATATAGGTTTGGGTTTAGGTGTGTACTCTCGTTTTGGTCGAGACTGAGCTTCGTTCATCCTGTTTAAAACAAAAAGAGATGAATTTCTTCAGTCATTAGTTGAAAAACAATCCTAAAATTGAATGTGGACTGAAGTCGGTGTGAGTGGATGAGCTGAGATTTGTGTGTCTTTAGGTTTGTGCCCACCTGTCACGCAGTTTGTCAGAAAGCTCCTCCAGCACTTGCACAGCTTGTCTGTGATATTGCAGCTGAGACTCCACCAGGGATGAAAGCTGGCTCACCTGCTCTATCTACACACACACATGCACGCACACACACAACACACACACACACAGAAACTCAGCACATGCAGACTCGTGTCACAGTTTCTGTTTCAGTAGAGGAGCTGATTTATGACTCAGACTTCAGAAAAATTCTACACAATTTTATAGACATGTCCCGCAATCGCTGTTATATTTAAATCAATAATAGCTCATGGAGAACTTTAGTTAAGTGAAAGGATTTTTTAATTAATTGTTTAGTTTAGTAATTTCCAATCAARGAAGCCAGACGGCACTCCCTCCGGGGCCAAATTACACTAAAGATAAATTATTAGCGATGCAAATACAGTTTAGCATTTATTAATGTGATAGTCAAAACATCAGAACCAGCCGAGGTTACAGAACTGGCTAAAACCAGACTACTTCTATCTGTGGGCTGGAGTGACCTATAATCTGACTTCTGTAGGCTGTGGTAAACACCACCTATGTTTATTTTACACAAGGATGAAACAAAAAGATTTCCTCTGAACTGTACTTGTCATATTTAACTGTAGTCTTGTGTTGCAAAATAGAASTGACCCGAGGTGTCGTCATACAGTATTAGAATTGTGAAACTACTCCACGTTAAATTCAGAGGTGTGTGTATCTGCAGTCCACGCGCCCAGGGAGTGGGTTTTATTCATTTTTACAAGTCCAGCCAAGTGTGTTTATTAGGTGTGTGGACATCACTACAAATCAAATAAAATGTTTCAAAAAGTGATAAAAGTATCTGATCATATAAAAAAAACTTGAAACTGAGGCCTTTCTTTTTGAATGTAGTGTTTATGTTTTTAAGMTAAATATTTAATTCAGGGAGGGGCAACTGGTGGCCCATGGGCCTGCCAATGAGCCCCTCATTCCCTTAAAAAAAGCATTCAAAGCAGCTGTTCACATAATTTCAAGGCAAATCTGTGTTTAGTCTGCTTAGAAATGCTGTCTGCCATGAAAGGTTTTAAGGTCACCGGTTCGATATCCCATTCCAGCTGTCTCAGTTGGTGTGTCCTTGGGCAAGACACTTCACCCCGTTTCCTACTGCTGGTGTTCAGAGTTACCTCTGTCAGTGCGCCCCAGGGCAGCTGTGGCTGGAGCTTACTGCCATCAGTGTGTGAATGGGTGAATGTCTGAAGTGTAAAGCGCCTTGAGGTCCAAATGGATTTGATAAGGCGCTATGTAAGTTCAAGCCATTTACCATTTTTATTTAAGTCGCTACTGCAACATGTTGCACAAAGCTAAATATGCTTGCACTCACAACATACACATAACAAAACACCAAATCACCACAGCCGAAGCATCCAAACCAATAAGTCAGGTGATGGGGCAC